GTACTGCTTCAATATACAATGTGAAATGTTTACATTGAACTAAGTAACACATCCATCTCAATTATACTCATTTCTTAATAGTTTTGAAATGAACCATTGCAACATGCTTTTTTTTTTTTTTTTTGAGATAGATTCTCACTTTATTGCCTTGGGTAGAGTGCCATGGCGTCACATCTCACAGCAGCCTCAAACTCTTGGGCTCAAACGAGTCTCTTGCCTCAGCCTCCCAAGTAGCTGGGACTACAGGCGTCTGGCGCAACACCCAGCTATTTTTAGAGATGTGATCTGGCTGGTCTCCAACTCCCAAGGTCGGGTAGATTCAACTGCCTCGGCCTCCCAGAGTGCTAGGACTACAGGCACTCTCACTGTTTTAAATTTAAATACTGTACCACAATTCCTGACCTTCGCGAATAGGCTAGCTTTTCTCAACTTTCCTGAGAACTTGAAAATTAGAACCTAAAGCTCGGACTGTAGTCTCGAGCTTTACATGGGTATGTGAATTTTAGCACTGAATTGTCACCTAGTAGCTCTTCTTTGCAATCTCATCCTACAGTTAAGGGCTTAATAGCGATTGCCCAGAAAATTTGTAACTTTTTCTTTTTAATCCAATAAGCATTTATTCTGCACCAGGCACTGTTGCAGGCCTTGGTGATATAAAGGAGACAAGTGCAGATGAGGTCCCTGACTTCTTGAAACTTACGTTCTTGTGGATTTATAGAATCTGAGGCAAAACCAGAATTTTTTTTCTTTTTTTGAAATTAAATAAGTAAAATGTGCTTATTGTTTTTTAAAAAAGAAAAGAGCAAAAGATAGCTGGGCATTGTGGCGGGCACCTGTAGTCCCAGGTACTCGGGAGGCTGAGGGAAGAAAATCGTTTGAGCCCAAGAGTAAGAGTTGGAGGTCGCTCTGAGCTCTGATGCTAAGGCACTCTACCTAGGACGACAGGTGAGACTCTGTTTAAAAAACAAACAAAAAAAGAAAATATAGTGTAAAATTTGAAATAATTCTTTCAAACTTTTTTCCATTTCATTTTCTTTCTTCCCCAGAAAGAGACCGGCGGCAGTTTGGAGGCATCTTTTCAGAATTTTAGGTTTTCTCATAATTGAAAAGTATGTTCTTCAGTAATCTGTGTTTTGTTATTTAGTATATCATACTCATGTTTTAGTATTAGCACGTATAGAACTACCCTATGCTTAACAAAAAAGAGATAAGGTCTTGTTATGTTGCCTGGATTGGATTTGTACTCCTGTGCACGAGTATCTTCTCCAGTGCACCCAGGAAGAGCCGCTACTCTATGCTTTTTTTTTCTTTTTTTTGAGAGACAGAGTCTTACTTTGTCACCTCTAGTAGAGTGTCATGGCATCACAGTTCACAGGAACCTCCAGCTCTTGGGCGTAGGTGATTCTCTTGCCTCAGCCTCCCAAGTAGCTCGGACTACAGCACCTGCCACAATGCCCGGCTATTTTTTTGTTGCAGTTTGGCCAGGACTGGGTTTGAACCCACTACCCTCCATATATGGGGCCAGCGCCATACTCACTGAGCCACAGGTGCCGCCCTACTCTATGCTTCTTAACTGCTGCATAATATTATATAGTATGATTTATCCTTTCTATTTTTTTTTAAAGCAAAGCCAAATAGCTTCAACATATCCTTTTTTTTTAAAGATGAGAGTCTAACTCTGTTGCCCAGGCTAGAGTGCCATGGTGTCAGCCTAGCTCACAGCAACCTCCAATTCCTGTGTTCAAGGGACCCTCCTGCCTCAGCCTCCCCAGTAGCTGGGATTACAGGCACTGGCCATGTTGCCCAGCTAGTTTTTTCTATTTCTAGTAAAGACAAGGTCTCACACTTGCTCAGGCTGGTCTTGAACTCCTAGGCTCAAAGGGATTCCTCCTACCTGAGCCTTCCAGAGTGGTAAGATTACAGACCTGAGCCACCTCACCCAGCCAGCATGACCTCATTTTTAAACCACTTCCAGGCTCAGCGCCTGCAGCTCAAGCAGCTAAAATGCCAGCCCTATACACCTGAGCTTGTGGGTTCAAATCCAGCCCAGCCTGCCAAACAATGATGGCTGCAACCAAAAAATAGCCAGGCGTTATGGCAGGCACCTGTAATTCCAGCTACTTGGGAGGCGGAGGCAGAGAATCGCTTTGAAATAGGACAGCAAACTCGAGAGAAGGATGGACCCCACTTCAGATGTAATTAATTAATAGAAATTTATTAGGAATATAATACACCTGCAGGTGCACCTACAGGGGGCTGTTGTGGTGGGCCAACAAGCAGCCTTGAATAGCGGGGGAGAAGCCTTTTTATACGATTATTCTGCATAATCATGCATGCTCAGCAAGCCAGTACAATACAGAAGCCAATCACAGCAGTTAGCACAATTTAATACAGCTCAGGGGTTACAAAGTAAGGGTATATCATATGGGCTTACCCAATTCAGGGTGGGGGTACATGTTCATAAATCACAAACTACATCACAAATACATTACTTCATTCTTATGATGAGGGTCACATAGTTCAGGGGTACAAACTAGTGTTGGGTAAATTTCCAAGAACAACTGGGGACCTTTTCACCCGGGGCTTTATTTGGAATCCACCCCTCCCTTTGCTCAACCCTTCCCTGCATACTTCCTTCATTTCAGGCTGCTTCTTTTCCCTTGAGGGGGCTGGGACTAGAAGGCTTAGGAGAGGTTTCCTTTTCAAGGGTAGGGGGCTTTGTTCCCCACTGGTCTTAGGGAGGGGGTCAAGGGCTGGGGGCTTGGTTATTACAGCTTGAGCCTAGTGCAGGAGCTGTGATGCCATGGCACTCTACCCAGGGGCAAGAGCTTGAGGCTCTGTCTCAAAAAAAAAAAAAAAAAAGGTGGCACCTGTGGCTTAAAAGGGTAGGGCCCCAGTCCCATATGCCGGAAGTGGTGGGTTCAAACCCAGCCCTGGCCAAAAACTGCAAAAAAAGCCACCTACAATTTAAATTTAGGTTGCTATTAAATCACTCTCCAACAGTGCTCTACCAATACATAGAGAGGTCTATATATGTGGCAAACCAGCCTGAGCCTGCTAAACAAAACAAAAAAAATAGCCAGGTGTTGTGGCAGGTGCCTGTAGTCCTACTAGGGAGGTTGAGGCAAGAGAATCACTTTAGCCTGAGTTTGAGGTTGCTGTGAGCTATGACGCCATAGCACTCTACCGAGAGTGACAAAGTGAGATTCTGTCTCAAAAAAAAAAAAAAAGGGCTCGGCACCTGTGGCTCAAGTAGCTAAGGCACCAGCCACATACACCTAAGGTGG